CTGTACCTCGCCTTTGCCCATGCTGTATCCTTGAAGATGCCATATCCTTGACCACAGAGGCCTGTTTCAGGCTCATGTTTCAGGACCCTTCTGGCACTGTGTCCTCTCTAGGCGCCCCCAAGCAGTATTCATGGCCGCTGTCACTCTCTGTGCCTTCAGCTTGGCCCTTGTCCTGCCATTTAATTGAACGTCCTCTTGTTTGGGTGCCTGCTGTGTGCTGACAACGCATCAACACAGCCCTCGTTTTGTCCATTTTACCGGGAGTGGGGAGGCTGAGGCTCAGAGACCTGGGCACCGGGTCCGTTCACGGTGAAGCCAGACTCTGGACGCTAACCTCCAGTCCCCAGTGCCTACCTCCGCTGTGTGTCCGTGCACACCCAGACCCCAGAGCAGGCCCATGTCCCTCGGCTCTGCCCCTGGCACACATCCCACAGTGCCCACATGTGGCCTTGGGCCAGTGGACAGTGCTGCTGTGTGGAACCCTCCCAGCCTGAGCTGGCTTCTTGGCACAGTTTCCAGGCTCTGGCCCCAACCCTAAGCCAAGCACTGCAAGAACATGGCACTGGCCTCTGCCCACTGGGCTCCAGCCATCTGGCTCCAGGCCACGGGATCCACCGTGCCTCTACCAGGCCCAGGGGGACTGCCTGGAAAGGAATGGGGGATCATCTTGCCCACACATAGGCTGGCCTGGCGAAACTGGCCTCCAGACAGGCTCTGCCTCCCCCTCATATCAGGCTCCCAGGGCAGGGTCGTGCCCACCCCGAGACCGGGCTCCTGGGGCAAGGTTGTGCCCCCCCACCAGGCTCCTGGGGCAGGGTCATGCCTCCCCTCTCAGACCAAGCTCCCAGGTCAAGGTAGTGCCTCCCCCCTCAAACCGAGCTCCTGGGGCAGCGTCATGCCTCCCCCCTCAGACTAGGCCAGGCCGGGGCATGTTTCTCCCCTCAGGCTGTCGAAGGCCCAAGTGACTCCGTTTAACAAACATGACGTGGCCCAGGTCCCTGGGGGAGGGGCGGGGCTGGCAGAGCAGGACTTGAATCCAGGTTGCTGTGACCCCTATTGGCTCAAGGCCTGGGCCCCTGAGGGCCAGGCCATGCTGTCCCCACGGCGGGGGCGGGGGCAGAACTTCCTCCCCCCAGGCCATGCCACGTTCCCCTCATTCCAGGCTATATTTAGACCTAGTGGAGGGAGGCACCCAGGCAGGGAGGGCTACGGCGGTGCCCCTCCACTGTGGGAGGGGGCCTGGGCGCCCACTTGCCCTCGTCTGGGGGCTCAGCTCAGAAGGACTGGGTCTGAGTCCCAGCCAGTCCTCATTGTTATGTGCCGTGGAGTCGGATCCAACTCATAGAGACCCCTCCTTGGGTTTCCAAGGCGGTATCACTAAGAAAGTAGATTGCCCAGCCTTCATTCCGAGGAGTGGCTGGTGGATTTGAACCCCCAGCCTTCTGGTTAGCAGTCAAGTGCCTTAGGCACTATGCTACTGCATCTGTGAGTGTGGGGCGGGGCTGGAGGGCAGCGTGTTAGTCCTGCCACACCCTCCTCGCCAGGGCCGGACTCCACAGATCCACCCAGAAACCAGGAACAGCAGGAAGAAAGTTCTGTGGGGATCCCTGTGACGGGTCGGGGCTCAGCCTCCCGGAGCTGAGCATCAGTTGAACCCCTGGTTGCCATCAAGTCGCCTCTGACTGCGGGCCACTGCACGCCGGTCAGAGCAGAGCTGTGCCCCGAGGGTTTTCCGTGGCTGGTGGTTTCTGCAGTAAATCAAGCGCTTCTTCAGAGGGACCTCTGCATGGACTCGAATCCCCAACTTCTGGTTCGCAGCTGAGAGCCTTAACTCTCTGTACCAGCCACACTCCAACAGCCAGTTTGCGTGGAATTGACCTGGCTCATGGCGGTCTGTGTGTGTCAGAGAGAACCACATTATAGGAGGAGGTCACGTTGACTAGCAAACCCACAGATCTTGATGCTGAGTGGGGGCTGACCCGAAGCCACACCTCTACCCTCGGTCCACGGGGGCGGTGGGTGGTGGCTGCAGCATTACTGCTGTTGTCCAGATGCTGCAGGCTCGTCAGCTGTGACCTGGGCCGGGACCCCACACAGCCCTCGGCCCATCTTCCCATGGGCTCCTGCACAAAGGCCCAGCCTGGCCAGCAGACGGGGTGTGAGGGGCTGGGTGTGGACTGTGAGAGGAGGAGCAGAGGTCGAGGCCAAGGGTCTGGACGCTCAGAGACTGGGATGGAGTGAGAAAGCCTGAAGGCAGCGGGTGGGTGGGGGTCGCTGTGAGGATCCAGGCTGCCTGCGAGATGGGCATACCCTTGACCAAAGCAGATTCAGGGACGCGGAGGGAGACGTCGGAGGGATGTAGCTGAGGCTGTGGAAACCAACGAGGAAACCGAGGCCCGGAAAATACCCAGCCCAGCTTCTGCCCTGCCACCAGGCCGCCCCAGCCACCGGGCTGCCCCAGCCAGAAGGCCCATCTTCAAGCTTGGGACAGAGGTCCCACCATTTGAGTCCCCTCCTTCCAAGCCAAGCGTTTGTGAATAGATGCCCCAGAGGGTGGCTCTTCAGCACTGAGCAGGATGGGGGGCTGGGAGGCGAGGCGCGGACCCGTGAGAGTGCTGGGGAGTAGGGCAACGGGAGGTGGGGTGTGGGGGTGGTTATCATGGAGGGACAGAGACAGCCAGACTCAGCAGAGAGAAGAGGAGAGGTGGGTGGTGGCAAAGCTGAGGGCTAAGGGCTCGGGCTGTGGTCAGGGGCTCAGCATGGGACCAGGCTCAGGGATTTATGTGTGGCTGGGATCAGGGCTCAGTGAGTGACCACGGTCAGGGTTCATCACAGGACTGGGGTCCGGGCTTGGAGTGACAGGCATCCATGGTCAGCGCTTCACCGGGATCAGGGCTCATGTGTGACCAGGGCTCAGCCCCCGGGAGCATCAGCGTGTGCTTGGCTGATGTCCCCCTCGCACCTGAACTACGGCCTCTGGCGTGTCCGAGTATCCTGCAGGAAGCCCCCACTCTGGGGGCCGCAGAGCCTCTGCAGTCAGTGCCTGGCCCTCCCCTGGGGTGGTGGCCAGCGGGGGGCACTCAGAGGAGGGCAGGCTCCCCAGGGGATGCCACCCGGGCCTGTCTCTGGAGGAAGGGACTGTACGTAGCATTTGTCTGGTGGTGACGCTAACGTGGCCTGGTGCAGACAGATCGGAAAGCATGTGCAGTGTGCCGTCCCACCCCAGGCCAGCCCTGGTGGCTCTGTGCGTCTGTCCTTCTAGCATCATGGGGGCATCATTCTTCCATAGTAGGGAAAGGAATGTTGGATGGTGTCCCTCCCCTTCTTGGGGACCTCTGGGGCCCACAGCCTCCTCGCCTCCCCTCTCCCCCGTCACCCCTACAGGGCATCTCCTCTGCCCCCAGAGCCCTGTCATTCTCCTTCTCTCACGGGGCTAGAGGAGGAAGGGTGGGGTCATCCGACACTGGGCTCCACACCTGAGCGGTGGGGAATGCCAGGGAGCGGGCAGTCCCCCAGAGACGCAAGAGGGGTGGCAGGGACCTTGGCACCAGAGGGTCCTCCCAGCAACCTCCGGGGGCCGATGTCCAGGACAGGGGATTCCGAGGAACGGGGGGGCCTGCAGGTAACCTCTCTGAGCCTGAGGCTGGAGCCCGTGCTCCCTCCTGCCTGGGCCTCTCTGACCTTTGCTGAGCGAGGGTCGCTTTGCCGTGTCCACCCTGGCCAGAGAGGCAGGGCTCAGTGTCTCGGTGTCACCGGGCTGGGGGCTGCGCATGGGCATCTCTCACTAGAACTGGACAATGGTTGGTGCGGGGTGGCATGCCTACCCTGCTCACAGCCCTTGGCCAACAGGAGGGCTAGTCAATGGGACTTCTTCCCCCAGGTGGAGAGGAGGCACTGTGCCCCAAGGTCCTAAGGGCCCATCCCTCCTCCCTGCCTCTCCAAAGGCCTCTTTCTCCTTTCTCCAGAAAAAGCCAGAAATGTCCTTATTTGGAGGATCAGCCCTGGCTAGGTTGCGGGGTGGGGTCCCGTTAACCCTTCATTTATAAATAAAGGGATAAATCATGGCTGAGTTAAACACCCGGAGGCAGAAGTATAAACAGTGGGGGTGGCCCCAGCCCAGCCCCCACCCCCTGCTCCCTGCTCACCCCCCCAGGCCAGGATGAGGGGAGTGCGCTGTTTATTTGACTCACACCCATGGGGGTGGGTTGTCTGTAGCCGGGCCCAGACTCTGGCCCCAGCGAGCCACCCGCGGGCCTCAGCCTGGTTCTCTGTGGGCCGGACGGTAACAAGTGTGCCCATTGTCAGGGTTAGCAGGGAACTGGTGAGCTGCTGAGGTGCCCAGTAGGGCTGGCGCCCAGCCCCCCATCCCTTGTCTGGAGCACTGACCCACTGCCTGCCGGGGGATGGGGGCTGTGAGGGTGGGCCTGGTGCAGTGGCTGGGGCGGCCATCTCAGAGGGTCTCACCATGTGCCAGGCTCCAAGTGGAAAGGGCCCTTTGCCAAGACTAGCTCAGTTCATCCAGCAGTTCCAAGACCCCAACTGTATAGCTTGAAAGTGAGGCCCAGAGAGGTTAAGTGACTGTTGAGGTTGCACAGCGAGCAAACAGAGGAGCCAGAATCCAAGCGGCTGTACAGCCACATGATGGCGGTAGTCTGCCCAGTCCCACAGCCCTGCCTTTCTCCCTCCGTCCTGATGACGGCCACGTGACTGCCAAGAGCGTGTTCCCCTCCCTACAGATCAAATTGTAGCCCTTGCCAGAGGCACGCTGGCGAGCACCAGGCTGGCATCCGAGCCACGCTGACCAACCCCACGCGCCCATGCCTTGGGCTGGGTCTAGATGGAGAGGAGTGAGCACCCCAGGTCCCAGCCGGGACAAAGGCACCGAGGCAGGAAACGTGGGGCATGTGAACCGAGTGGGACTGGGCCAACAGTCAGGGCCTCGGATGCCAAGCCAGTGCCTGGGCAAACCTGTCTCCTCCTTTCCAGGCCCGGGCACCGCCATGCCGTCCCTGTCTCCGGTGAGGCCCCTGGCCTTGGTGGCCCACAATGCCACGGGCCGCCCCAACAGCAGTGTGCCAGAGATGCCCTTGTTCCACCTGTTCGCCTTGCTGGACGAGGAGCTGCACGCCGGCTTCCCCGGCCTGTGGCTGGCGCTGATGGCGGTGCACGGTGCCATCTTCCTGGTGGGCCTGGTGCTCAACGGGCTGGCGCTGTATGTGTTCTGCTGCCGCACGCAGGCCAAGACGCCCTCCGTCACCTACACCGTCAACCTGGTGGTGACCGACCTGCTGGTGGGCCTGTCCCTGCCCGTGCGCTTCACAATCTTCTACAGCGCGCAGGGCTGCCTGCGCTGTGCGTTCCCCCACATCTTCGGCTACTTCCTCAACATGCACTGCTCCATCCTCTTCCTCACCTGCATCTGTGTGGACCGCTACCTGGCCATCGTGCAGCCCGATGGCTGCCGTCGCTGGCGCCAGCCCGCCTGCGCCAAGGCCGTGTGCATCTTCGTGTGGCTGGCGGCCGGCGCCGTGACCCTGTCTGTGCTCGGCATGGCGGCCGGCGGCGTGCCCTGCTGCCGTGTCTTCACGCTGACTGTGTTTGAGTTCCTCCTGCCTCTGCTGGTCATCAGCGTGTTCACGGGCCGCATCGTGTGTGCGCTGTCGCGGCCGGGCCTGCTGCGCCAGGGCCACCAGCGCCGGGTGCGGGCCATGCAGCTGCTGCTCACCGTGTTGGTCATCTTTCTCATCTGCTTCACGCCCTTCCATGCCCGCCAGGTGGCTGTGGTGCTGTGGCCGGGTCTGCCGCGCCGTGCCAGCCTCGTGGCCTACCACGTGGCCGTGACCCTCAGCAGCCTCAACAGCTGCATGGACCCCATCGTCTACTGCTTCGTCACCAGCAGCTTCCAGGCCACCCTCCGCAGCCTCTTCCGCCGGCACAGCGCGGACTACGAGCCCGGCAGCGGCGAAGCTGTCGCGCACAAGGGCTTCAAGGGCTCCTCTCACCACATCCTGAGCACCGGCCCCCGCGCCCTGACGCAGGCCCTGGCTAAGGAGCCTGAGGCCTAGTCGGCCAGGCTCTGTAAAGGGATCAAAGGTCAGGACTGGACTGGCTGTAGCTCAGAGGACCCTCCTCATGCCAGGTCAGGGGCAAATCAGGTTCGTCCTGATCAACTGTGATGCCTACTCGGGGCCCTGCGTTGAAAGAGATCCAAGGCCCTGTGCTGTGGTTAATTAGCAATGTCTGCCACAGGCTTCAGATGGGGTGTAGTGGTCCAAGTGCCAATCACTTGCCATCCCTGGGGTTACTGTGTCTCAAACACTCAGAGAGGTGGCCAGGAGCAGCTTCTGACAAGGGCCATTTTGCCCCTAGAAGGTGTTACCCAGAAGGAGGGACAGAGATCATTCAGGTACTGGGGAGTCCGAAGAGGGCTAAAAAAAAATTCTGAGGTGATTCCCACACACAGAGACGCAGAAGAACAGAGATGCTGGAACTGAGGGAGAACGACGGGGGACAGAAATGTTACATGATGGGAAGTGAGGGGCCGTGTCTCTAGGACCCCGGCCCGAGGCATCCATGACTCCCAAGACAGCATGCCATCTATGGGCTGCTGTGCTGTGAGCAAGCACTGGTACATCTTGGTTGCTGCTTGAACCATGAGATGGGGGTTGCTGAGAGAATCTGGCAGGTGCCAGGCTGGGCAGTGACAGTCAGACCCAGCTCCACCTCCTCCACGGCCTTCACGCCCCCCCCCGTGGATGCCACCAACTGTCCCCACAGCCGCCACTCTGGGAGTGGTCTCGGCAGACCCTGCCTGCTGCCCCGGAGGATGGCAGTGCCATGCCCCGTCCCACAGGTGTGAAGACCTGGAGCAAGCACACCCAGGACCGCGGCCCGGCCTCCCGGCCCAGGACACAAGCCCCTGGCCCCCTCCAAGGTGGCCCAGGTCACTGAGCAGCTCTTCTTGCTGACGGGTCACGTCTCCCCCTGCCCTCTTTGGGGAGGGGGCGCTTCTCTGGCTTGGGCCTCTGATCACTTCCTCTGAGCTGGCCTCCAGGACTGCTTCCCATATGGCCTTCTGTTGAAGGCTGAGCTCCCATGAGTTCTTCCAAGATTTGGGCATGGGGAGGGGTCTCTGATGGAGGAGGGGCTCTGAGCATGGGCGGGGACACCTCCAGCCACCCAGCTCCTCCCTTGCCCTTGGCCACAGCCACTGACGCAGACAGATGATTTTAAGGGGTTGCGGGTTTGCCATTTGTCCCCAGAGAAAAGCGTCCTGTGTATCCGGGGTGGCCTGGATGGGGGCAGGAGGAGGCAGACCAGGCCCCCCATCTTGGCTCTAGGTAGAGCACTCTGTCCCCCAAGGTGCTGAATGCTGGGGCCTGCGTGGGGGCCAGAGGGGCTGGTTAAGTCTCCATTTTAAAGATGAGGAAACAGGCTAATGGAGAGCGCAGGCCTTGCCCCAGGACACCCTGTGAGTATCAAGGGCAGTGCTGTCTTCACCATTCCCAGCCGGGGCCCAGGAGGAGTTGTGACACTGGGGTGAGAGCCTCTGGCTCCAGGACCTTGTGGGGAGGCTGGGTTTGGGGACATCAGCTCCCAGCCTGCTGACTGGAAGGACCTGGAGCCCAGAGGGGTCACAGTGGGCTCACGGTGCACGGCAAGTGATGGGGGAGTTTGGACTCCCCACCCCGATGCCCGAGGAGCAGTGGGATGCCCACCACCACCAGTCACAGCCAGCAACACTCGTAACCCTTCCTGGGTGCTGTGTCTGGGGCGCCTCACAGCCTGTGGCCAACCTCCCCCCTCTGCATCCCCTCCCATGCCCCTCCAGTGCCCGGGTCTCACCAGTCCCTCTAGGAGAGAGGGGTGGTGCCTGCCACTACTGAGGGTCTGCTATGTGCCAGGCACTGAAGCCCCTGACCCCAGCTTCCTGGTACAGCTCGGAGATGCAGTGCTCACCACTGGTCCCACCAGGCACAGGAGGAGCCTGGCTGCCTCTCAGGGCGGACGGAGCCAGGGAGTGGGGCTGGCTGTCCAGACACGGGCACGGCAGGCAATTCTGGGCCCTAAGGGGGCTACGAGCATGGGTTTGCAGGCACAGAGACGCCACATAGCTTCCTCTTTCTGAGGCCTGCCAGGTGGCGCCAGGGCAGTCACAGGTCCCAAGCAAAGCAGGCCAGAGTGTCAGTGTCGGAGGTTTGGCCCCAGCCCGCTCCGGGCTTCCTCTCCCAGGGTCCTGGTGCCCAGTCCCTGAATTCCTTGAGCTCGTACAAGACCCCCTGCACCCACCCTCAGGAGCCATCCACAGTCGGAGACCCTGGGCTTTATTTGTACAAGGACTCAATTCTCTTGTTCCATCCCAGGGGGACCTACCTCCCTTGGAGCCTACCCACCCGCTCCCCCTGGGCCATGGAGCATGACACGCCCCCTCTGAGCCTCGATTCCCCCAACTGTACCATGGAGACCCTCTCTCTGGGCCATTGGCTATGGAGGCAGGGGACAGAGGGACCCTCCGGCAGGGCAACGACGTGCACAAAGATGGGACCACACTTGGCTTCTCAGGGCCTGCACCAGCCCCACCCCCACTTCACATGCAACCTCACAGCTCCCTGCTTTCACAGCATACGCCGCCAGTGTCCTCTGGCCCACCAGCCCTTCCTGGTTCTCGCATCCTGCTTCTCTAATTCATACTAAGGAGTGAATGGTTGATAGGAGCTGAGTGCTGTGACTTGTAGGTGGAGGGTTTGTAATTTTTCTGGAATACTCTTTCCTGGAGGAGGGTGCCTAAGGTGGGCAGGGAACGAGTACTGCCGGAGCCGGTCTGTGCAGCCTTGCTTCACACCTGTGAGAATGTCTGTCCCCGTGACAACCAGCGCCCCAGGGAGAGACCTGGGACCCAAATCCTGAGAGGTGCCCAAGCCCCTGCACCTTGTCAGCACGTTGGAAAGCCCACAGGTCACTCTTGGTTCCTCGAGGCCTCAAAGAACACTCGAGGGCTGAAGCCACCATTGAAGCATGGCAGGGTCAGCCACCTGTCTTCTGGGGCAGAGGCCCAGACCTTGGGGGCCAGAGTCAAAGGCTGTCCTTGCACCTCTGGAACATTCAGCGCCTGCACTAGGCCAGGTTCTGTCTCCCTGCACCCAACTCGCCAGCTTTGCAGCTGGAGGGCGGGGGGGGGGGCTGTTCGCCCCATGACCTTGTCACGGCAGGCAGGGCCCCATCAACTCCCTCTGACCCTTGCTTCCTCCTCCTGACAACTGACTCACTCCCACTCCAGCGGGGACCAAGGCCCAAGAACCTCCAGAGCCCAGACCAGAGTAGGACCATCCTTGGTCTCACAGAGACCAGGCTGCCAGGTCCAACCTCCTTCCCGGATTTTCAAGAATCAGAGTGACGTGAGGTCATGTGTATTTATATCCGATGTAAACACTCTTCTAACGAGAAATCTTGGTCCTGAATTAAAACTTTATCTCCTTCATGCCCACGGCTCCGTTCCCTGGCTGGCGAGCAGAGGTCGGGGGTGGGGCTGAGCCGGGCGTTGGGGGCTGGGGGCGCCACACCCCTCCCTCTCCAGGGATGCCCTCTTGGATGGGCAGAGGCTCCCCAGGAAGGTTGCAGCAGTGGCTCCTGGTAGGGGCAGGTCTAGGGACCTCAAAGCCAGTCCAGTGCTACTGGGCAGGGAACTGAGGGACAGGGTGGACTGAAGACCAGTGGTGTGGGGGTGGGGCACAGACCAGCAGAACGACAGGCCTCACCTTCTTCCTGGTTCGGACTCCACCTGCCTGGGGAGAAGATGGACACAGCTGGGCCACGCAGAACAGCCCTGTCTCATCACCGAGGTATGCCTTGCAGGGCAAGGGAGCCGGTGGCTAGGTGGTCAGGGGGGTGGGGGGATCTGTATTCCTGTGCCCTTTACCAGGTGCCTGCTGGGTTGGCTCACCTTCTGAACCTCCCAACAAGCCTGGGCTATCACCCCACTTCGCAGATGGGAAAACCAAGGCTCTGAGTGTTAGCCCGGCAGGGAGCTTGAACCTGGGCCTCCTGGTGCCCAGCTGCCACATGGCCACATGTCCCACCAAGCCAGGGAAGCACTGAGGTGGCAGGGGGGTTGGCTGGGTGGGGCCCGTCACTCCCCCCATCTGGCACTCTCTGAGGCTGGAGGCGTGTGGAGGTAAATATTAGGGAGTATTTACATTACACTCCATTAATAGCAGGAAATGTCAGCTTGGCGACAGCCCAGCTTCCTGGAGGGCCTGCCGCCTAAGGGCAACATCCTGTGGGAGATGGGCGTCTTCAGTTCCTAGAGCCTGGCCCTGTGTGTCCTGTGCCTTCCGGCCCCCCAGTCTCCCTGTGTCCCACATTCGGCCCCTCCTCCTGATGAGCCCCTCCCTCCCTCTCTCCCTACCTGCTGCTGAAGGGCACCTCCTACAGGAAGCCTCCAGACCTGCAGCTGTGCATGAGGGGGGCTCTCCAGCCGCTGCCCGGGAGGCAACAGGCTTGAGGCCACCCTGCGGCCTGCAGGGTCCGAGGAGGTGCAAGAGCGCAGTGAAGACAGGCCAGCTGACCAGCACCCCTGCTCCCATCACCCACCCCTGGGGACAGCCTCTCACGCCGGAAGGAGTCGTGTTCCCAATTCACAGAGCAGAAATCTGAGGCTTGGGGACCTAATGGGGCCGCTCCAAGGCCACCGGGCGCCACCTAAACAGAGAAGCTAGAATTTGGGGCCGAGCTCAGCCTGTCCATCCTTCTCGCACCTTCAGTGATGGCAGTCCCCCAAAGCAGTGGGCTGGGGTGGAGGGGCCAGGCACTGGTGCTGCCCACTTGACACGCTGATGGACAGGGGTGGGCCCTGTGGCAGGCGAAGGAGAAGGAGGCGGGGCTGCTGCTGCCCATGGGTGGTGTGGAGTCCCCCATGCTCACACCACTGCGCGCCCTGGAGCCCACAAGCTCTCCTCATCAGACATCGCACCCCCTCTGGACAGCCTTTCCCCCCGCCCAGTCCTAGGGCTGTGAGCAACACCCCCATCACCTCTTTCCCCAGTCTCCATTCTACTATGTGGGTTCC